CCTTCGCCCAGATTCGGCAGTTCAATTTGACACATAATTTGGCAAAGAAAAGAGCCTGCGTCACAGAGCCCTGGGCGAACGAAAGCCGCGAACTCATGAGGACCGCGTCCGCCACCAATCTTTCCCATCCTATCTTGGATAAGATAGACCCGTTACCGAGGTTCTCCTTCTTCTGATTTTTCTCGTACAGAAGCCTTGAAGTCGAAAGAATGCCTGCTGCCTTCTCCAGTTCTCCCCTCTCGAGTAGGTATTCCACTTGGGCCAGTCGGTAGGATAGATTTGCCAGGCAAGAAACTTCATTTTCGTTCAGATATCGATCCGCGCGCGTAAGAAGAGCTTCAGCCTTCTTGCAGTGCCCTAAGCGACAGTACTGCGAAACCAAACGTGACAATATGATGATGGCTTCAGAAAAATCCCTAGTCCCCTGGACCTCCGTGATACGTAGGACCAGTTCAAGAGCGACGAGCTGGAGTTTCCAGAGCCCGTAAATCTCCGTGTAATCTACAATGGCTTTGACCTGAAGAAAGTAATAGTCCACATCGTCAACGCACGAAGAGAGCGCGTCTTTGTCTGGACAGTTGCGCATCATTGAATTCCACGAGCACAATATCCGATCCAATTCGTCCGAGCGTAGATCCCCCTCATGAAGACCTAGGGTGAGACAAACTGAATTCTTCAAGTGTGTCGCGTAAAGTTCCATATCAGTATCACTACCAACTTCTTGAGCGTTGTCGAGGCTTTTGACGCTTTCCTCGACAAGTCGACGGATGGTTGGCAATCCCAGTGAATCTGAGTGATCCAAAGAGAAGCGCAAACCCATCAAGATGACCCGTAGCCGACGGATGGGCCGTGATTCAGGAGAGTATACTTCCAAGATTGTACTGAGGAGCGTATCGAATGCCGAACGGAAGCCCTCGTCATTATGAKTCTGAGATGGTAATTCGCTCAGAATACCGAGCTGCCATTCCAGAAGGAGGCCCCTCTGTAAGGACTCAACAGCAGGGCAATCGAAGAACTTGGCATGCTTCGTATCGCGGAGACGCAAATTCGTCCTCAAAAATGCAGAAAGTATGCGGTTGAAAGTAAAGCTGCTGCTCTTCGGGTCTTGACACGCCCGGTGCGGAGAGACACTGACAGTATTGGATAAGAGTTGCTTCAAGACCCCTGCACTAATATGCTCGTTGAGCGAATCTCTGAATGCTTCTGCAGATTCAACGCCCATGTTCGCTTCGAGGTATAAGTGAGCGAGTCTTTCGTACTTCAAGGCTGCGAATCCTGTTCTTCGTTGAGCCGGCGAGCAATTCTCGAGAAAGTTGATTGATTGTCTCAAAGTATGCATGAGCTCGCGATGGCCTTTCCCGGACTCCTTGTCTTTGATATACCGAGACCAGAACAGATTGGACAGTTTCACAAATCCCATGCCATTCTCGTTCCCGTCCGATCGCTCCTGGTTCCCTTCTGCTGTGCAATCGATCGCCACCAGGAGGCGTTGGCAGTCGGAGAATGTCGAAAGCAGTGACTCCCATGAAGGACTCTGTGACATGACGGACAATTTACCAACTGCGAGAGCTGAATCTACCGCAGCCAGCACGATGCTTCTACAAGTTTCGAGCCGCTTGTAGAACACCTCGAGGTCACTTTGGTCCTCATCTGCCGAAGGTTTCTTCCCAAGATATCGTCGCAGGAATCTCACAAATCCGTTCAAATATGCGTAAATCTTCGGGAAGATATCCCTTTCCTCGTCAGTAGCATCATGCTCCTTGGCAACCTTCTCCCCTAACCAGCTCATTGAAATCTTCTTCAACTTCGCTGCTTCGACTAGCAGCTCATCTAAGTCATTCTCATTTCCCCTAAGAGGCGTACCAAGGGCTGCAGTAGCTTCAGAGAGAGACATGGACACGCTCGGTTGACGCATTTTGGTCGAGGTTTTCAAAGCCTGCAAATGGAGTGTCGCGAGTTTGCATCGTACAGTGGCTGATGAAAGCAAATTTTCGTCCGCCAGAGGGTTGAGAGCCTCGGTGAAAAGGGTTGATGCCTCCTCGAAACATCCTGCTTCTTGAGCAAGTTGTCCGAGGATGGTTGCTATCCGGGCTACCGAGAGATTGTTTCTCAACTTCGATGAAGGTCGTTTTTGTGAGTTAGCGACAGCTGCCTGCAGTCGGACGATTGTTTTGTATGTTGCAGCGAACTCAGCCTTCTCGATACCTTTGAAATGGTTGACGAAAGCCGCTAAATACCGCGCCAGCGGCTCCCACATCTCTTTCACGTCGTCACAGACATGACCAGACAATTTCCAACTCATGCACCGAATCTCAAGCGATAATAGTTGAAGGGTCAATGGCGTTATCGGTTTCAGTGATTCTTTGGAGACGCTGCTATCATTTGACTTCTGTGTTGCGGAGCACATAGACATTATCGTATTAGATAGCAATTGAAGCTGCATAGCCGCCTTGTCCCGTGCCACTGTCTGGGAATCAACCGCTGCAGTGATCAGATTCGCTGGGCTGCTTGGATTTGCCAATTGCAAGGAAGCCAAGACCTTATGCACCGTCGCAGCGCGTTTCTCCGCTGCTATGAGCCGAAGGGCGTTGGACTGGAAGGAAATAATCAAGTTGTGCAATGGTCGAGCATGAGATATGTTCTTAAAGGATATGAGATCGGACATTCGTTCCTTGGCAGCTTCTTCCTCCGTGCTTCGCTGGTCCTTCCGCCCGACAGTGGCGTCTTTGCCGATGTCCTGGCTATCCAAGTATTGTTGAACCCTCCTCTTAAGACCCCGTAATTCTTTGTAGGCCAAATCATTCAGTCCCAGAGATAAATATCTCCCTGCTAACACACATGCGCCTTGTTCGAGTTGGACATTAAGCGGCCCATTTCCCTGGCTGTTCTGTTCGGCTTTCATATTCCTCAAGCAGGCAAGTGCCAGACTAGCGCACTCAGCGACTGCGAGTAGGCCGCTGTCGATTTTGGCTGCATTTGGCGCTGCACGTTGAGGTGTCTTCGATCTCCTCGCCGGTTTTGTGACGCGATTCGGTGAAGCTGGATGAAGAGGCGTAGTCGGTACACAAAGTTCGGATGACTTTGATGCATCTGCAAGTGTCTTCAATGTTGTATTAAAGATCTCTGTCGCCAGTGAAACCCTTTCCTGACATGACAAACGCGCTGCATCATGTTCGATCGCGGCAATTGTAGCACCCTTGGCCGAGACGTTTGTTTTAGTTGTCGCTCTACTCCGTCCTGAGGATCCAGGCACGACCTTCTTCGTCCGACTCGTCTTCTTCATAGGTTCGCTCTCGACGTCGGGGATCGGTTTCAATGAATCCCGAAAAAGAGACTGGAGGGACAACACTGTGGCATTGCAGCATGTTGAGGTTGAGCGCACGGCTTGCTTCACCGAATCCAATGAGGATTCAGGAAGTAGTGTTGCGACTGCCATGTCGATCTGTAGTCAGTTGAAGTCCTGCAATGTTAGATGTGACCATGAATTACGGCCACAGACGCATTGAGGCTGCGGAGCTCATGTCAACTCCGTCAGTGTCTCTCAGCGTCGGGCCAAGCCTCAAGCGGTGGTTGTCGCAGCAACGGATACACACTACTCCCGCAGAGGCATAGCGCCGTCGGTTCCCCGACTCTCCGATCCAAAGGCCTTTTTTGGCCGATCTTAACGTCGTAGTTCAAGTGTCGCAGCCAAGAAAATAATACATTCTGCATCATCAACAACATGTCTACGACTCGTCTATACCATATGGTCCGTTGTCTACCGGGCCCCCGGACGCTCGGGAGACTTCGCCTCCAAGTCTCACCGCGATACTGCCAGTATTCCACTTCGGGGCATATCCCGAAGATCGCTCAACCATCGTTATGGCAGTCCATGATCCCCAAGTTCATTCGAAATCGGCGCGCCAAAGCGGAAACTTCCCCTACTAAGTCGAAAGAATGGAATCCCGCTAGTTTCTACATCGTCATATTCATCTTGATCGGGTCGCAAGCCATACGAATGATTGCTTTGAAGAACGAATATAATGCATATACTCGATCAACCGACGCAAAGATTCGACTTCTACGGGAGGTGATTGAGAAAGTACAAAGAGGGGAGAAGGTGGACGTAGAGAAATTGCTCGGCACCGGAGATGAGGCAAAGGAGAGAGAATGGGAAGAAGGTGCGGATTTCTGGTCGCTTCATACATGGCTTTTATGAGGACTAACAATTCTCTCGTCCTACAGTTCTTCGCGAGATCGAGGAGGAAGATTCCCTCTGGCATCGGAAGAACCCAGGCTCGGAATCCAATCGTTCAGTGACGCCTGAGCAAGAGCAGAAACAGCAGGCGGAGAAGTCTCGATCTAAGGACCCCGTTGTCCCTGCCGAAGGGGTGTCAACCCAGGAGCCACCAAAGGATGGAGCCGCAAGACGCAAATTGAACTTCTTCTAGCCAGGTTGAGTGTGTGGACCTTCCGCGCCAACGCAATAACTAATTCGCTCCCTTACGAGTCCTGGCCCTTCAAAGAGTCGAGTTCCGTTTCCATGAAGCTTCGCGGCGGCGCTCATGGTGCAACAAGGAGCTTTGCTGCGTCTATTCAAGCTGGAAATTCCTGGTTCGTGCCATCTCTTTGTCCTTACATCTTTTTCTGACCGGGACTTAGAATTTGGAAGTCAAGCGATGGGACCTACGGCTCTCATCCTTTTGTTGATCCCAGTCGGAATTACTCCTCCACTGATCTTTTTCCTTGATACCCAGATATTTGCAAGACTTCAGAGAATTGCACAAACTTGTATATTATTTATTTCTCCTGTACAAACGTTGTCTTACGCATATGAATGTATGGTTTGCCATCTTTCTTGTACTCCGTCTCCCAGTCGACGTCTGGTTCATGCGGAACTTAAATTTACTTTCGTATCTAACCCATGTTTGATTTCATGAGCTGCACAAGTTTGTCTTGCATGTCGCAGAAGATATTGATTGCCTGCAGTGGTGTCAGTCATCCTGTCTTCCCACGTTGTATCATACTTCATCCAAACTTGCCTGTGTGAGTTTCTCTTCACTTGCTCCATGCAGGTCCCGTGTGAAGGCAATCCTGTAAGCGGATTCGTCGTTTACAAATGACTGCTGTGCCACAGAGATTGCTGATGGAACACCAGAGTCAAAGAGAGACTCCATCTGAGGTGCAGAGCTGGGTTGCGAAAGCTGTTTCAGGAGGTCTGGCGCGATTGTGATATGGTCGACCCCTGCCAGGGCATATATCTCGTTTATGGATGTCAAGCTAGCTGGCAAGACCTTTGTTTTTGCATTGATGGACTTATAATGCTTCTGAATTGAAACACAGAGAGGCAAGAGCTTGTTTGGGTCCTTGAATCTGGCGACCTGTCAGTGCAACCTTGCTCGGAACAAGTCAGGCAATTGGCTGGAGGTGTCGAGCTCACCCTGGTTCGAAGTGGACTTTCAATTGATTGACATAAGGGGCTATATACGTGCACCCAACCTCCGCCGCTAAGATGGCCTGGGACATTGTGAAGAGCGTCGTGGCTAGCGTTCGCACACCGGCCATCTCAAGAGCTCGGCAAGCCATCATGCCCTCCCATGTACTCGGAATTTTGATGCAGATACGAGATTGCTCAAAACCTGGTTGCAGGTGTTGGAAGAGCTGGACAATTCCTGTGGCAGAAGTGCTTCGTTAGCGGAATTCCGTCAGAGGAACCGTTGACATACTCAAAGCGTTCACAATTGTACTTTCAGTGGAGTAAGAGTAGTAAGGGTTCGTCTGAACATGAACGTGTCCGCGGATATGAGGAGCTATTTTCAAGGCTAATCTAACCATCTATACGATCATGTCAGCTAGCACCTTTAGTACTATAGCAAAACTGTCCCTACCGCAATCTCAACTGCCAGCTCCTCCAGGGTGACGCCAGTGAATCTGGGCAAAAGATCATCGGCGTCTGAGATGGAATTGCGGATCAATTCGATGTGTTCTGGCTTTGACAGTTCGCCGTACGCAATAGCCTTCGTTGCGAGTTTCCCAACTCAGCTCATGCTCCTGATACTTTGTGAGACTAGACCATGGCCAGTGCAACCTACCTGGTTTGAAGTACAGTCTTGGAACGGACCCAAGTCTCTGGCAACTGGTTATTTGTTAATAGATTACCCTGCTGAGACCGGGTTAAGCATCTCACTGGGGCAGTCTGATATAGGTACCTTGTTCATCCATTGTGTCACAGTCGACGATGGTTCTCCTGCGGAGAACGTCTAAGCCAGTTTGCATCGTAGCCATCTTGTTGATGTTCCTAGAAATAGAGAAGGACGCTAGGTTGAAATAAGACGTTGAGAGTTTACGATGCCTTCGGGTTTGGGATACCGAAAAAGAGGGGAGAGTCTGTTGTTGAATAGATATAGAAATAAGGGTGCCACGAAGCTTCCCCTCATGACAAACAACGCTCGGAATCAAGGAAACTTATCCGATCGACTGAGCTATCTTTCAAAGGCGCATGATGTCGGGCCGAAGAACATCGCTTCAATAATGTCCGAAGTTGTACCTATCGAGGGGTTCGTCGCCAAAGCTTTGGACCGACTGGCCTATGAACATCGGTTTCTCCACAGCAACAGTCACGCAGCTTGTTGAAGAACCCTCAGCCCACTTGAATAACGGGCGTAGTGACATACTGTTGGACTGTGAGGTGAGTCTATCATCTAGACTATCTACCCCGTGGGAGTATCTTTTTACGGTTAAATGACTTAGCCAATAGTCTCCTTTTCCAAATATACATAAACCCTACTCAGTCCATCAATACTCAGCCCTGCGGCTGCTGCAGACCATAGAAATACTTTCCTTCAATGACAGCAACTCATGAGAGTAGCAGCGAAGGACTAGATAAGTCATCCCGGTTGCGCCAATTCTGTTCCAGTTCGGCTCCCCACCATAACGGTTGTGACTAGATGACGGCAGGGCCAGACCTCACATAGAATTTGTGCAAACAGCCCAAGAGACGGGGTCCACAGGGACAACATCAAAGACTTCAGCATGAGGCCCATGACCGGACATAGAAAGCCATGTACTCGTCTACTTCATATTGTAGACGATAATGGGCTCTGAGGGCCAACCAACCTTTCAGGACGCGGGTAGAAGGCGCAGACAAAGATAACAACCACGGATGACAAGAAGATGCTCAAACAACAAAGTAGCATCATTCGCGACATTTGCTGGAACCAGACATGGAAGATGCTCAGGACCACGAGTTTCTTTAGCCTCATATGTCGGATAGAGGTCTTTCATCTCATTTACCTCGTTAAGTAGAGCAATATAAGCACATAAAGATTGAAGGTCAGGTGAACCAATCATGCTGTGAACGTTTCCCAATTGGCGTTGAATAGGTGCAATGACATGGAACGAACCCTGCGCTTGACTTGCGGTGACTCTGCAACTTGCATCTTGTCGACTTGGATCTGGTGCTTCTGCTAAGAGAGCCAGCTAGATTGATCCCCGGCCAGAAGCTTTGTAAGTTGTGCCCAAGTCAGTACATGTCTTGTAATTGACGTCCTGTTATAAACACGCTGTGGCTGATCTTCCCTAGTGTGGCTTGATAATGATGAACGCAATTTAGAAGCCAGTTGGCTGATATTAATGCACAGCTTTGATGGTCATCATTCTCGATATTTGGAAGCGAAACCACGTTAGAGACAGGCTCTCTGACGAAGAAGGGAGCATGTGTGACCGAGCAAATTGAAGTATACTATCTGGGGCAAAATGCCTTGAGCAGTTCATGCAACATCAGGTCAATGCTAGTAGCTGCATGACCGTACTTCAGCCTGATCCTTGTTCCGATCGTCGGTTCTGACAGCTGAGGTACCCAGCTGCTAATAATGTAGACATATCTGCTGAATTGACTTAGGAAGTCCACCGCCAGTATCATTGCCGGCTTACGGAGAATTTAGGCAACTCTAGACTACGCGACAGTATTATGTAACCCTGATATGAAACCCTTTCGTCTCATGGGCAGAGAAGAACGGGCGATTAACGACGGGACGAACATCTCCTTCTCAGGTATCTCGTAAATAACCTCTGCGGTCGCGACAGAATGCCGAAACCAGTGAGGTTCAGCTTGGCACGTCAACATCATTCCAGAGGGTAGACGACGTGGGCTGAGACCCTTGAGAAGAAGAGGGAAAGGGAAGAGGAAGATGATGGGAAATTCGCACACAAAAGGGAAGCAGGAAACTGCGAGCGGTGGTGGAATGGAAGAAGAATCTTCCGTGTGGTAATACGGTCGGAATGATTGGCTGGAATGGGCGCAGTATGGCCGAATCCCGTGACTTGAGCCTTGCCCGAGGTTGATTATCCCGTGATTCCGAACCGCTACGAGAAGGTCCGACCCTCAACATCGAGAGGTTCTTCTAGACGACGACGACGACGACGACGGCCAGCGTCTTGCCTGGGACGGATCATTTGCATTCTTGAATCGAGACCCTTTGCTTCACTATGATCTCTCAGAAAGTTGCTCAGCAATCGCTGCGGCGGCGTATGTACAGCCCATTGCTTGGCTTGGTATTCGAAGTTCACTAACCATCCTGCAGTTGCCGTCCAGCAGCCCTACGCCATGCGGTGGTCTTTGATGAACTCTGCGTCTCCTGCCGCTGTTGCTATGGGAAGGATTGTACAGAAGAGGTGAGCCAGCCCACGATGTCGCTGTTCATCTTGTGCTTTTTGGGGTGTTCCGTACCAATACCTCCGTCCATTCATATTGGCAACATTGGCCGCTACGTCATGCGACACTCTGGGATACACTTTCGAGACATCAACACTTTACAACAGAAGGAATATCATGGAAGCGGAATTGACGAATGCTGATGCGTATAACCAGACACGCTGCTTCCACCACATCCCAAGCCGACGCCTCCAAGATCCTCGCCCAACAGCGCTTGAACCGCCCCGTTTCCCCTCACCTCTCCATCTACCGTCCCCAGATCACCTGGATTGGCTCTAGCGCTCACCGTATCACCGGCATTGCTCTTTCTGGCCCCTTGTACCTTTTCGCAACCGCATACCTCGCCGCCCCTCTGTTCGGTTGGCACCTTGAATCGGCCTCTATCGCTGCCGCTTTCGGCGCTCTACCCATTGCCGCCAAGGTTCTCATCAAGGGTACCGTTGCCTTCCCTTTTGTCTACCACTGCTTGAACGGCGTGCGTCACTTGGTTTGGGATCTTGGCCGTGGAATTTCCAACCAGCAGGTTATCAAGTCTGGCTGGACCGTGGTGGGCCTGACTGTGGTTAGCGCACTCACTCTTGCTTTGCTGTGATTTTTATTGTATTACATACCTTTGAGTTGTTGTTTTCTGAAAAATTGTTTTCCCATACAATATACTTTATACTGTTCAAATGATTACTGATACGTGAAATATGCTTTTGGCCTAATATCCCCTACATGCCTGCTAGACCACATGGGGGAACTCGAGGAAAATACCGATGTAGGATCTTTCAGAGATAAGCGATTCTGCTTCGTGATGACTGGACTGCCCCTACCTCCCATGGGATCAACAGGCTCTGATCCTTAGAAACGTGGTGATGTATTAGACAGCCGACTAATTTGATTACAGGCATGGTGTCCATGGTACTCAGGATGGTATKGAATTATAAACTGCAGTCTCTATATTTCCTCTGATCGACGCGATCCTCGAGAAACAATCCATGGATCCCCCACGTCACCATGCAAGTCTAAGTTAAAATAAGAATCCTTCCCAATGCCTCCTCGCGCAACCTTCCGTCTCCACTCATGGGATCATGATGAATTGCTTCGGAAATTCTTGAGATCATGTCAGCCTTTGCCGTTCGAGCTAACCCGTATCTCCCTTTGTATGGAAAGGTACAAAAGGAATTTCGAGGCCTGGTTGGCTTACCTATTGTTGTATATCATCTCAGACTAAGGTCGACAGCCAATCCAACTCACGAACTCACGCAGGACTTGGAGGAGGATTGGGCGGAAACGGTCTCGGTGATGGTGGATCTTGAACAGAAAAGCTGCCTATCGAGTAGCTCGCATCGCTCTCATTATTATTCTGAAAGCCCCATTTCGCGAAGGGCTCGAAATTGGCAAGGACTGTGTTGCCGGAATTCCGCTGAAGGGCCATCGTTGAGGACGGTTAGGGATCTCTGCTTGATTGTGTGAAGCTTGAGATAGGCAACAGGAAGCTATTGGTGGGATACGACCGGAGAGGGAGGTCTTTCTCAGAGCTTGTGTTTTGTGAAGGCTTCCTTCGACTGGACTTAGGCCACCTGAGAAATGCTGAAGCTCATCCTCGGTGACCAGGCCAGTCTCGCTTTTTAATACTTCATACTGCTGCGGCCATTGACGGCTCCGAACGTGTTCTCCTTAGCAGGTTAGGTTGTACACCGCCATCTCGCTGGTGATCGGACTTACGGGAAGAGGCCGCTCGGATCTGACACGGCGGAAGTTCTACTGAATATGTACGTGCTTGCCTTCATCTGAGCTTTGGATCTAGGAGTTTCCTCATTCATGTCTGCAAGGGCCCGAGGGAGCCCGATCTGTTAGACAGCTTGCCCGCATTCCATCTTCTTCGTCCCTCATAGGTTCCGCTGGCGAGCAATTGCAGAGCATCGGCGCTACCAGAAGATGCTCAACGCCATCGCATACGTCAAAGCGCACTCTTGCTGCCCCGAACCATGGCAACCCCAGGGTGTAGATCCCGACTTGGTAGTGACACCGGCGGATTTGGGGATATTGATCGTCGCGGCTTGTTGCAGTAACGCGTTTTGAGCCGAGCGTTATCAATCAGATCAACACCGATACTCTAATGAAGCTGGGGTAATGGAATAGCTTCTAGAAGCATCTTACCCCGGTGAAGAAGTTTCCCTATCCAGATGTTTGAGTAGGTCCGAGGTCGGTCACTCTGCTTGGCTGAAGAGTACTGGGATCTACTTCTACTGGGCAAGAGAACGTAGAGTCAGTCTACCCCTGCCAGTGTCGATCATTAGGKATCCAACGTCTTGAGGCAAACAATCCGCTTGCTGGGCCTTCCTTTTGGACAAGAACCCATCATTAGCATCAATATCTTGATGATCGCGATATACTTAGGCACTGGCCGCGATATCTCGCTGTCTGGCTCTGGAGCAAGCTCAGAATGAGGACTTCTCCAATGAATTTTCCTGGAAAAATGGCGGTGTTTCTGGGGGCACAGAATGAATCATCTGCACGACTCAAAACACATGAATGAAAGCATGATCACTACATCTGAGCACGTGGACAAGCTCTATTCTCCCTG